TCGCATGAAGCAGAAACCGATAAACCATAGTAGGTGAGCTATGCCGGTTCTGCCCCCCCCCCCCCCCCCCCCCCCCCCCCCCCCCNCCCCCCCCCCCCCCAATCCTCCTCACTATAAGCCCCGCTCCCTTTACCCCCTCCACGTCCCAGAATCAGGAGTGGGGGTACCCCTCCCCTCTACCGCCTGGAGTGGGGGGTTGGTAACTGGAGTGGGGGTCGGTAAGAAGGGGATCTACCTGGTAAGCCTACCCGGGGTCGGTAATTCGGTAACATAACCTATACCATCTACTGATCTTTAACAAATTACCGTTGCAGGATCTACAGTCCTATCTGCTTTACCGACTGATAAATTTTTGATAGGTAGCGTTATAAAAGAAATGGGGTGAAAATAAAAAGAATTTTTTGAGGAAAAATTTTTATTTACCAAAACAAAAAGTTATATATTAAAAAAGTCATTAAAAGTTATCAAAAGTTATACATTAAAAATTACATATTAAAAAGTTATATATTAAAAAAGTTATTAAAAGTTATCAAAAGTTATCCATTAAAAATTACATATTAAAAAGTTACATATTAAAAGTTCAATATTACAAAGTTACATATTAAAAAGTTACAAATTAAAAGCGTAAAAAACTATTGAATTAAAATAATGTTATTAATAAGTCTTTTTATTTGAAGAATTATTTCGTCTAGAATTATATCTAACAAGCCTTCTTCAAATAAAGACTTGATAATATTTAGAGTATTACTAAATCTACATGGCGAAAACTCAATCATTTGTTCTAAAAATACGTCAATCACTCGACTATCAACCGAATTCCTTATCATGGTTTCGATGTCTAAAATTTGGTAGAAAAAAATTTCGTACCTCTGCTGTGCATATAATATTGCTAAAAATGCAGTAGTGCTTTCAAATAAATACTCGACAGTTGTTGATATAGGGCTTGACGAACTCAATACTCGCACACTTTCAATAACCCGACTCCACGATCCGAAATGTACATATAATTTCTTCAATAACAGTAGGTGAGCTATGCCGGTTCGAGCCCCCCCCCCCCCCCNCTATAGGCCACGCCCCCTTCCCCCTCCCCCTCTCCAAGTCAGAGAGGGGGGGTCGGTAAGTGGGGGGTGCCTGTTTTACCGACGGTGGGTAAATCGTTATCGATCGCAGGTTATCGACCCCGGTGTTACCGACTCGAGGGTACCCGGATACCCGGGGATGGATATAGCTTATCTACTGTACCGACTCTCGAACATAACCTATACCAGGGCCAAGAAGGCAGCATGGTTGCTCTATATATCATATCGATTTCCGAATTGCCTAGAGATTTGAGCCATGAAGTATGCGTGGAGGAAGATACCTTACCGACTCCCTATACTGGTGGGCATCATCGTTGATCCGAAGGTTGGTCTACCTTACCAACATAACCTATACCGAGGTATATGTATTCCAGCATATAAAATGCCCTCCAACACGATTTATCGGGTCCCACCGCTTTACATAGAGCTTTATCGGCAACTAGGGATTCCCTAATGCGATAAAAATTTCGCGTTAAGTTCGATTCCAAGAATTTTATCATACCACTGCTCATTAAAAATGCAGGAACGTCCGTTAACGTGCAGATTTTCACACTTGTACACTAGCACACTGGCAATTTTTTTATTTAAATAAAAAAACAATTATTTTATATAAAAGAATTTTTATTATCATTATACTAGTGCTATAACAAGGTACCTAAAAGTTTAATGTATACTAAACAATTGTATATAATTATCACGCACATGCGAATAGTCATGTAGGAACATAATTATATAACTATTATTTTAATAATTATATTGTTTACATTTTTGTATTTATATACTTTTAGCAAATATAGGTATTTAATTAATATTATTTATAATTATTCTATTATAATTATATTTTTAGCATTTTGCTTAATATTAGGAATTAGGTCATCAATAATAACATCTATTAAACCTTCATTAAAGGTGTTTTGAATCATACGAAAAATATTTTTAAATTTTTCAGCAGAAAATTCTATCAATAAATGTCGTTATTATCATACTTGCTGTTGAATTGACAATCATTTTTTCTATATCACACATTTGATCATAGAAAATTTTATATGACTGTTGCATATATAGAACAGTCATAAATACTTCTATATCTTCATATAATTTTTTTGCTGTTATGATAATTGGACTCGAAATACTTAATTCTCTACAATTTTCGGTTATTTTTCTCCATGAGCCGAAGTATGTATATAACTCCTTCAAAAACCAATTTCTTTTAACAAATTTCGGCCCCATTGGTAGTAAAATGAGTCTAAAAACCAAACAAATTTTTGACAAGTTAAAAACTTTTGAAATAATAATAAACTAATTTCGAACATTTATAAGATTTCATAAGCAATATTCATAAACATGCACGTGTCGCGTACGCAACCGACACCGATTAGCCAGACTCAACGGTAAGTATCGCACACCATCTATCGGCTCCAATAGATCTTTCAAAAACTTATACTTTGGTTGGTTCAACGACTTTGAGTACACGTATACATTTTCAAAACGAAGACCGTTCGGATGAGTGATCAGAGCGAGCAAGCAGTTTGTCTTGCCACAATTCGAAGGTTCGCAAAATACTGCTTTGATAGAGTCCGGCAAGAAATCCCCGTGTCGGCGAACTTTTCTTTTCTCTTCGACTATATCAAAATTACCAACCGGAAGTTTCAAAGGCTGCTTTGAAAACTCCATGCTTGCTGGAGTCGCGCGTAACAATGAGCCGAATTCCTATAAATACCGGGCTTTTATACTTTTTTTCACATTCGCGTTCTAGCTCTTGTAATGATAACATACAGAGGTCGAGGCATTCTAGATAAAGTGATTGACAATTTACCTTTTGAGCTACATTTTAAAAATTATAGCTATTGCGGCCCTGGCACACACCTTGCGAAACGTTTAGCTCGTGGTGATAAGGGTATTAACCCTCTGGACAGTGCCTGCAAAGATCACGATATTGCTTATTCGCAAAAAAATCACGCTATACGTAGGAGTGCTGACAATACTTTGGCGGGAAAAGCTTTGGAGCGAGTTAGAGCACGGGATTCTTCGATTGGTGAAAAAATTGCAGCCCTTGCAGTAGCTGGTGCAATGAAGATTAAAAAGGGGCTAGGTGTAAAATTAGCCAAGGGGGCTAGAGAAGCCGTGAAAAAAGCAGGAGGAAGAAAAAAAGTAAAAATTCCACGCGTTCTACCGGTATCCGGCAAAATTGGGGGTGCCTTTCCGTTTCTCATACCTCTTTTCGCTGGCCTTAGCGCCGTCAGTGCCTTGGGGGGCGGGGCCGCAGGTATCGCTTAAGCGGTGAATGATGCCAAAGCAGCCGAGCGGAAATTGCGTGAAACGAAAAAACATAACAGAAAAATGGAGGCGATTGCTCTCGGTAAAGGACTCTATTTAAAACCATACAAAACCGGTCTTGGACTATGTTTTGGAACGAAGCGAGGAAAAAAAAAACTTCAAAATAACTTTACCAAATAGAGCTCTCACCAACTACGATCTCGTCAAATACGCCGAGCTTTTGAAAATTCCACACTTTCGAGGAGTCTTCATGAGGGACGAGTTGCCGAGTAGCGGGGCTCACTACCGCGAGAGTGCGATCGTCAATCTGGATGATTCGATCGGCCCCGGCACCCACTGGGTGGCTTATCGAAAATGCGGCAAGAGAGTGATTTATTTCGACAGTTTTGGCGATTTACCGCCGCCTCGAGATCTTGTGGATTACCTCAAAGTCCCCGAAGTCATGTATAACCATCAAAGATATCAGGATTTTGATACTCATTGGTGTGGCCACTTATGCCTGAAATTTCTTAGCGCCTCCACGTTCTGCGATCCGAGAAGGAGAGGAAAATTGTACTCAGTCCTCATGATGATAAACGCTACCTAGTACCAGGGACCTTCGACACTCTGCCGTGGGGCCACAAAGACATCGCTAGCGAGCCTCCAGCCAAGAAGCCAAAGTATAATTAAAATATATATACTAAAAATTATCGAATAATAGAGCCTGCCGGATGTAACAAATTTCATTTCTGGACGGCTATTCCAAGAATTCATATCAAGCAATGCATACTGAGAACTTAAGAATTCCATCAGAGCTTAATATCAAGTTACATTAAAGAAGTGCACCGGATGTATCAAGTTACATTTCTTGACGTTTATTCCAAGAATTTATTTCAAGCAATGCCTACTGATAACTAAAGAATTTCATTGGTGGTTTACATTAAAGAAGTACACAGGATGTATCAAGTTTAATTTCTCAACGGTTATTCGGAGTATTGATATCAAGTTACACAAAGAATGTTCGGGTTTTCCCCGCGATGACATCATCGCTCGCTCGAGTATGAAGAGACTATTCATTACTGGAGTAGCTGGGGGAGGGAGAGCTTGTTGAGAGTGGGGGTCGACCGATAAATAGAGCGAGGAGCTCGAGCCAAGGTACAGTCGTCGATCAGAAAGATCCCACAGCACTCGTACAATTCTTTCACTATCTTTTCAATCTATAAAAATGGATTTTAAAAAAATAAATCAGCTGGCCAAGAGCAAAGCGACGTATTTACCACTGAAGAAAGTTACGGATCTGATGGTAGATCGTGATTATAAAGTTACAGCCATTAAAAAAGCAGTTACGAAGTATGGTCCAAAAATCCTACTTCAGCTCAACCAAGAGTTTCAAATGTTTCTACCGAAACAAGTCTCCGATGCTCTGCTCGACACCTGCAGTGCCATAAAGATCGAAAATTTATACATTAAGTGTGTGGACCAATGTGTACAGTTTTTTGAAAAAGAGTGAATTTAAGTGTGGGTATGGGTTATGCTTATTAAAAGAATTGTTATACTATAATGGTGATGTGAGGCATGGGTTATGCTTATTAAAAGAATTGGTTTTTATACTATGATGATGATGTAAGGTATGGGTTATACTTAAAAAAAATTGGTTATGTTATACTATGATGGACATAGTCCAAGACCGGTTTTGTATGGTTTTAAATAGAGTCCTTTACCGAGAGCAATTGCCTCCATTTTTCTGTTATGTTTTTTCATTTCATGCAATTCCCGCTCGGCTGCTTTGGCGTCATTCACCGCTTTAGCGATACCCGCGGCCCCGCCCCCCAAGGCACCGACGGCGCTAAGGCCAGCGAAAAGAGGTATGAGAAACGGCAAGGCACCCCCAATTTTGCCGGATACCGGTAGAACGCGTGGAATTTTTACTTTTTTTCTTTCTCCTGCTTTTTTCACGGCTTCTCTAGCCCCCGAAATAGCCGATTTGATTACTGATTCGGAAGTTTTGCCTCGTTTCATGTTCTTCTTAGCCGCCGTAACAACTTTGGCTAATTTTACACCTAGCCCCTTTTTAATCTTCATTGCACCAGCTACTGCAAGGGCTGCAATTTTTTCGCCAATCGAAGAATCCCGTGCTCTAACTCGCTCCAAAGCCTTTTCCGCCAAAGTATTGTCAGCACTCCTACGTATAGCGTGATTTTTTTGCGAATAAGCAATATCGTGATCTTTGCAGGCACTGTTCAGAGGGTTAATACCCTTATCACCACGAGCTAAACATCACCATTATAGTACACATATAGTACACATCACCATTATAGTATACATCACCATTATAGTATAATGGTGATGTGTACTACGGTATAATAGTATACATATAGTACACATCACCATTATAGTATAACAATTCTTTTAATAAGCATAACCCATACCCACACTTAAATTCACTCTTTTTCAAAAAACTGTACACATTGGTCCACACACTTAATGTATAAATTTTCGATCTTTATGGCACTGCAGGTGTCGAGCAGAGCATCGGAGACTTGTTTCGGTAGAAACATTTGAAACTCTTGGTTGAGCTGAAGTAGGATTTTTGGACCATACTTCGTAACTGCTTTTTTAATGGCTGTAACTTTATAATCACGATCTACCATCAGATCCGTAACTTTCTTCAGTGGTAAATACGTCGCTTTGCTCTTGGCCAGCTGATTTATTTTTTTAAAATCCATTTTTATAGATTGAAAAGATAGTGAAAGAATTGTACGAGTGCTGTGGGATCTTTCTGATCGACGACTGTACCTTGGCTCGAGCTCCTCGCTCTATTTATCGGTCGACCCCCACTCTCAACAAGCTCTCCCTACCCCAGCTACTCCAGTAATGAATAGTCTCTTCATACTCTCACTACTCGAGCGATGTCATCGCGGGGAAAACCCGAACATTCTTTGTGTAACTTGATATCAATACTCCAAATAACCGTTGAGAAATTAAACTTGATACATCCTGTCTACTTCTTTAATGTAAACCGCCAATGGAATTCTTTAGTTATCAGTAGGCATTGCTTGAAATAAATTCTTGGAATAGCCGTCCAGAAATGAAACTTGTTACATCCGGTGGGCTCTATTATTATTCGATAATTTTAGTATATATATTTTAATTATACTTTGGCTTCTTGGCTGGAGGCTCGCTAGCGATGTCTTTGTGGCTCCACGGCAGAGTGTTGAAGGTCCCTGGTACTAGGTAGCGTTTATCATCATGAGGACTGAGTGCAATTTTCCTCTCCTTCTCGGATCGCAGAACGTGGAGGCGCGAGCGAATGTTGTGCTGCTCCCTCGAGATGATTGTATTCTCTCTCAAGCACTGCAAGTAGTCGTCAAAGGTAATGGTATTCTTTACCACCGATGACTTGATGTCTTTGATCTTTTTGATGACACCACCATTTTGAATATCGACGCTGTACATTTTACTGCGCAGGCCGCAAAACCGTCGTAGTATTTTTCCGCAAAGTTCATCCTTCATAAGTCCAATCTTCTTGGAGTTTTCCCGAAGTAATGGCATTCCGAATGGATTGTCTTTCTCGTAGTCAAATGTATCAAACTCATTGATATTATCCTTATGCTTCATAACCTCGTATACGTTTTGCCCCCCTATCTCGTACACCAAGCTATCAGTGTCCGTGTACAACACTTTGCAATTGTTTCCAAAACGATCGCGCATGAAATCGTAGTGGAAGCGATAGAGGTGCGTCTTTGATATATCTAATATGCTGAATCCAACGTACACGGGTTTATCAATGGTGACTGCTGTCTTTGAAAGCTGGATTGCGACCAGGTTTTCGTTGAAGATTGCTCTGCTGTGAAAATTTGGCTTCGAAATTTGAGCTTCTGCTCCGTAACGTCCATCCCAGCTTGAAACGAGCTTGACATCAATTCTTTTTCTGACGTTTTCAATAGTTTTTCCAAATATGGCGTTATTGCAGAGCTTGTATTGTTGTTTCTCAAAGTCATTTTTGCTATTTTTTCTCTTCTCGGTGTTCAAGTCGATATAAGACTTGAGCCAGGGTCCCTGTTTAAATTTCAATGCTCGATTGACTTTTGTGACTCAAACACCGAGTCAAACTGCCTGCTGTAAACTCCTGTAGTGAATGATGTACTTGTGCTTGGGATTCAGCGTGGTCAGGAGTTTGCGCTGTTTCGAGCCCGGTGGGCAGGCGTGCTCGGGACATAGTGTCAAATCCTTGTGCGAGTCGTGTAGGGATTCGGGATACTCCAGGTTCACCTTGCGGATGTATCCGTACTCGGAATCTTCGGGCAATGTGAGATAATCTTTGGCATCGGACCATTCAAAGCCTCCGTATGGCAGATACTGAGCCATTGCCCAACCGTACAAGTTATTTATATCGTAGTACATCAGGTATACGTCCTCTTTCTCAGGATTGTAATCCTCGCCCATGTACCTGTTGTTAGCCTCACTGCACCTGCTACACCATTGCGAGACCCCACCGCGAATTCCTTTCTCGACAAATAGCAACATGTCTACGTCTGTGAGTAATTCTAGCTCGACTTGGGTGTACAAGAGCATTGCATCCCAAGAATAGCCCGGTAATGTATAATTTTGTGCTGGATCTAATTCATAAGCCTCGTGACACGTTTTCCGAAAGTTCTCAAAGACTTCTACGAGTAATATCAAATCCGTTTTGAGGTAAAGATCCGAATATTCACTTAGATTGGAAATTTTGAAGAAGTCCCACACTCCCTTTGCGTGCTCGTAATCTTTGGTAGAAATATCGCTGTTCGTAAGAGAGCTGTAAAACTGTTCGGGTGGTGGTAGTGCTGTCTCTTGGAGCTTCTCGAGCGATGAGATGTACTCGTATGGAAACACTCCTTTTTTCGTGAGAAGTTCGATTTGTGCATCATCGTAATCCTGGCCAAAAACTTTTCTTAGAGTTGGTTGTTGCTTTAAGTATGAAGCCAAGTTGTCCAATGATGATGCCATGAACTTAAACGAGTCGATGAAGCGAAAAGATAATCTCTTATCCTCCATGAATTTCACGAAGGAGATGTATCGCTCCTTGGTCTGAGGTAGAACTCAGACTCGACCTGGAAATCCCGTAGCTACCTCGCGAATAAAAAATGCGAATCGTATCCACTTAGGTTATGGAAGATCACAGGCACGAATCTCACGTCTCTGTAGTTGATGTTGCACTTACTATGAGCTGCTCCTCGATATTCACCCGTAAAGTGCGAATGGTCGCGGCTATCGTACACTTCGTTCGGGTTGGGGCAGTTGAACCATGCTAGGTCGAAAACGCGATGATTAAGTACCCTTTGCAGGTACACCAACTTGTAATGCTCTTCGGCGTATAAGTAAACACGCGATTCCTGCACAGTGTGTTCCTTAAGCATCTGCAGACTTTTTTCAGCCGATACAGACCCATCGCCCCATCTAAGACCGTGTACGTTCAATGTACAGTCTTGAACTTTATTTTGTAGAGCACGCGACATATCGTCGAATTTACTGTCTGGAGCAACTATCCAGTGCAGGTAAGACAATTACTGAACAGATACAATGCACACTTCTTTCGGCTGAAAGTTTGAGCCGTCGAAAAATCCAAGAGGTCTACTATATGTATATAATCGACGCACATAAGCGTCGACGATGATCACGACGATCGTGATTGTTATCATTAGCGTCGTCGCATCATCGCGCCAATATATCGTAAGAGTCGTCTGGATCTATCTATCTCTCTCTCTCTCTCTCTCTCTCTTGCTGTGAGGCTCGTTAATGCCCCGACACAATATCGCGCCTCCTCCCTATTCTCGGCGTCGCGCGGCTTTTTACGATTATATTTCCGGACTGGCTACACACTCGCTCAGACACACACATTGCGCAGCAGACATCATTTTTACTAAAATATCTGCAAAGATCCTCGGAGCGTGCAAAGTCTATATAACTGCAACTCGAGGAGTTCGTTATTTTTTATCGTGTCCATCGCGACTGTCGCTTGTATGTGTGTGCGCATGTATCGAGTGGGTCTTGCTGCAGTTTGATACTTATGTTTCAGCGCCCGATCTCGCCTGCTTCGAATGCCGTGCACTCGACAATAATTCGAGCCGATGTGTGCGCATAACGGAAGTTCATGCCCGCTTTGATTTTCTAACGGCTCGCTTATACACTATATAAAGTACATCGAGTCGAGTGGGCAGCTTATATTATATCTTATACGTGTGACATGGCGCAGGCAAAGTACGAGGACACGCTGCGTTCGCAGCAATCAAAAGGCATCGAAGTAATTCGCGATACGAACGACACGCAAACTTGCCTCGGCATTTTCACTCGACGACTTGATTTTGATTGAACTTTATATATTACATATCTATACAGCCGAGGAATCGCTGAGCCGCACAGGGAACACAATATTTTCCAGAAGTTGCCTTAAATAGCGGCTTTCGTCTATAATCGACGTCGATCGAGCCGCATCGATCGCATAATGCATTCTTCATTTATGCACATGTGGATAAATATTATTACCAGTGCAGGTACGCTCGTACGGGTATGAAAAGTCAATTTTTCATACCCATCTATCCATCGCGTTATATCCATCGCAGCGATCGGTGTGCATTAGATAATTGCGTGCGCAGACTCGCGCGACACAAGTCGATCGATCGATCGAAATCACATTTATATACCATTGCGCAACTCAGCCATGTGCGTACGTGTGTATAATATCTGTGGTTGAAAGGGTTAACGAGATAACTTCATTTTTCGTGTTTTCGAGAAAAACACATTTTAAATTGGGCACGAGTGCCTAGCTAGACGCGGACGACTAAAGATCTGTACCTATGGTATTTTTACCTACTAAGAAATATCTTTTTACCCGTATATCTATTAAATTGAAAGTGTAGTTGCATAGCAGAAAATATGGACTTATCTCGTTAGCCCTTTCCCCGCTTAGCAGATAAGTCCACAGCTTCTGCGGGACCTAGTTTTCGAAATCGATGTTTTGCTTGCATTTCATGATGAAAACTATATCCTACAATTCTACTTCGAAAATATTGCTCATGTATAACTTTATAAAACTTGCAGAAGCCCTACATGTGTCATTTCACATCAACTCTCCCAGTGCCGCACAGCGCGGCATTATTTAGTCGAATCGCTAAATTTATAACTCGCTATAAAAGTATCTAAATGAACCTAGAAGAAAAAAGTAGCAAAGCATTTCGATGGGAAATTGCCTCAGCTTTCCGAAGGTCATATCAGATTTCCCGAAATTTTCCGCTTAAGCCGAGAAAATCAAACTATGCCAAATGAACGTGCGCCGCATTAAGCGCTACGTCAAAATAAACGCTTCTCCCCTATCTATTTTTTCCCGCCATAATCTGCAAATTTCTCGCTAAATTTCAAAAATTTTTTCCCGCTAAAATTTGAAGTTTTCCCGCGTAATTTTGAAAATTTTTCCCACCAAAATTCAAAAATTTTTTCCCGCCAAATTTTGAAATTTTTTTCCCGCCAAAATTCAAAATTTTTTCCCGCCAAAATTCAAAATTTGGCGGGAAAATTTTTTTGAATTTTGGCGGGAAAAAATTTTGAAATTTGGCGGGAAAATTTGAATTTTGGCGGGAAAAAAATTTCAAAATTTGGCGGCAAGCTTCAGGGAGAGAAACGGCCTGCGGGATGCTATCAGCGGCATACACACCCGTGGTTTTTGCCGAAATATACGATAGACAGACTTCTAGCTGGCATGTATTCATTTTTGTCGTACCTGGTCTAAACGATGCAGGAGCAATCTGAATTGTGCTCGTCCGATGAATTTCCCTCTTGAAGCGCAATCACCTCTTTAATTACAGACTTGTAGTATGGGGGCGGTGATTCACCTGCACGAACAACAGGGGGTTGCTCACCGGCAGCGCGAGGTGAGCCCCTCGAAGATTGCGGTGCGATGACACGCACGGGCACCGGTGGAACGCTGTACGTCGGGCGCGGTGTTTCACCGAGTCCCGCGAGATATCATCGAGCTACCCTCGCTGCCAGTATTCAAGACTCAACTTAGGAGCCATCTCATGCAGCGGATCGGAGAGAGATGATCACGCCTAAATGAACATGCGCCGTCAATCGGAAATCGATTGGATATCGTTACTTGTTCAATTTGTAAAATACCTTTATCTTATTTCTTCACCTTCTTTATGTTTATGTTTATGTTTAGTTTAGTATAATCTATAAGAATTTCGAAACCCATCAAAATTGTAAATTTGTAAATTTCTATGTATGCTTCTTTGAGCCCTTCGGCCTTTGCGGTGCCTGGGCGAAATAAATATGGTTAAATCAAATCCCTGTTCCCCGAGCGTGCGAGGGACAGCCACAGAAGGTTCTTGTACAACACTCCGTACCGGTAACTGCGGATTGCGCGTCGTTTGATCAGTGCTTACCTCCTTTATTTGGACAGATTCTTCTTCTTGTCTAGCAGCGCGCGTAGGCACTATAATTCTACGCAGACGTAATGCAGGGACGCGCCGAGGTTCATTACCCCGTACACCGCTCACTTCAGCCGCATCTTGTTGTGCAATACCGCGCGCCGGTCTCGGTGGTGGTGATGCAGCGTTCACATCTACTCTACGCAGCCGTAATGGTGGCACACTGCGTGGTTCATCACTGTTAACGGCGTTAACCCCCTGCGATGCAATTGGACGCTGTGATGATGGTTGCATGATACTCGTACTGGGTTTAGGCTTTATCGCCACGAGTCGGCGATACGGGGTGAATGCTGTAGGTGCCGGTTATTTGCACTGACATTTTGTTGCACGTACGGGCGAGTTGGTCCGACAGTAGCGTTATTGGCTCTGATCTTTGTAATTAGGTCAGTTGCACTATTATAGAGCTTGCTATAAGTAGGTAAACAAAGCGGGTTCTGGCCCCCCCACTCCTACTCCCTACCCCTCCCCTCCCCAGCCAGGGATTGGGGGGGGGGGGGTCGATATGTAGAATACCTGTTTTACCGACGGTGGGTAGTTATCAACCCCTGGCAAGTATCTGCTCTACCGACTCTTGACCTACACTGGGGGTACCCTGTTGACCGATGGGGCTACCCCTGGCAGTATCTACCTTACCGACTTATACTAGGGTACCCGAGTATTTTTACCCCGTTGATTATGGAGGTTCCAACCGAAGCGGCTACCTTTTGCGCAAGCGCACAATTTTATTTGATTAAATTTCAAATAATTAGGATAGGTATCGGAATAACAAAATTTATTTCAAGAATTAAAAATTTTAATAATAAAAAATGTATGTACAAAAAATAATTAAATGAGTATCAACTGTTCCTTCAGCTGCTCTTTGTAATCATTTATTACTTGATGCACGATATCTTCTTCATACATTCTTTTGATGCCACGCAATGCATCCGCGAACCCCGGTCGCGCGCATTCGATAAGTACATTGATCGAACCCACCACTCTGGTGGCGACGGTATTGCGGAGAATGAAAGATTGTATGTGCCGCAGCTGATTATAAAAATGCTCCCTCATGACGAGGGAGTGCACGATCGCTACAAAAACTATAAAATCACCATATAAGATTGGTGCAGTTTTGATAATGGGTCCGCTCGACCCAGAGTTCTAAATTGCCGACATCACACCCGACCAGCTACCAAATGCTCGAATTAGTTTGCGCAAAAACCATTCTCTTTTTTCTGTTAACGGCCTGGATGGTAAGACGATGACACTGAAATCAGATGAATGCAGGGTTTTAACTAGCCACTTATAATTAAATTTTTTTTTACTACTAGTGGCAACCGCGGTTGCAGTATGCTGAGCGAGAGAATATGCCGTACTGCTTGATGATTTATTAAATATAAAACATTATTATGTGTATGCTAATGGATCAAATAAACACAAAAACAATGCAACGACAATCATATTTAAGATCCCCGACAGATTATCCAATAAAATCCCATCAAATTTGATCAAATTCTTATAATTTTAGAAAAAATTTATAAAAACTCACCCTTTCAGATCCACCTTCATTTCGGTATTATTGATGTTAAATTCCATTTTTTTTATATTGTAAATGCGGTTGTAGTAAGTAGGTGAGCTATGCCGGTTCTGGCCCCCCCACTCCTCCCTATAGACCACGCCCCCTTTCCCCCTCCCCCTCTCCAAGTCAGGGAGTGGGGGGTCGATAACTGGGGATGCCTGTTTTACCGACGGTGAGTAAATTTTTATTGACCCTGGTGTTACCCACTTTAGGGTACCCGGATACCCGGGGATGGATGTAGCTAATCTACCTTGCTGACTCTCAAATATAACCTCCTTTACCCCCTCCATGTCCCAGAATCAGGAGTGGGGGTACCCTCCACCGCCTGGAGTGGGGGTCGGTAAGTAGGATACTTGTTTTACCGACAGTGAGTATCGGTCGCAGGTTATCGACCCAGTAGTGCAATCAGTTTTGGTGGCCATTTTAATGAAACCTATCGCGGCTTCAGGCCCACCGTACGGTATATACAATTTCACCGATTCAGCACATAAAAATTATCTGAAAAGCGTAAATAAGGCATAAAGAAAAAATAATAAAAAATGCTTTTCAAAAAAATTTATTTAAAAAACATAAAATTACACATTAAAATAATAATGTATTTATAGCAAAATTACTTAAACTAATCAATTATTAAAATAATATCATTAATAATATTTTTAATTCTTGGAATTAACTCGTCGATAATAACATCCAATATAGCTTCTTCAAAGCTTAATTTAATTACATTCGATACTATACTAGTGGCAACGTTCGTTGCATAAAGCTGAGCGACGTTCGTTTAAAATTTGTTTGTTTTTGAAATTTTGCTGATTGATTGTACACTGAAAATTGGCTTAACATGTATAATATTACTTAATATACATAATATTAATCCTTATTGCACACGAATGCTGATGCTACTGCATCATAATTGCATCTAAAATATTAAATCTAAAAAATGCATAAGGGTGCATAAAGGGCATACCAAAACCTAATCAGTAACACATTTACGTCCCCTCTACACACCCAAAAAATTTCAGCCCGATCCATTGAATACTATTCCAGTTATCGTGTCAGGGCGAACACACGAAAATTAGGCAAACTGGCCATGAAACGACTTCGCTGCGCTCAGCTTTAATGAAATTTACGCGGCGAAAATTCGATTACGTGATCTATGAAAGTACGTATTATATTACTATTAATCGAATTTTCAATCATGCTTTCTAAATCTAATATTTGATACAAAAAAATTTCATATTTTTGCTGAAAATATAAAATAGATAAAAATGCTGGAACGCTCCCGAATAAATGTTCTGCTGTTACTAATATAGGGCTTGATGACCCTAACACCCTACAGCATTCGATCACACGGCTCCACGATTGAAAATGAATGAAAAGGCGTTTCAACAACCACTCCCTTCTCATTTTTTTCGGTCCGGCTGGCGTTATGATAAATCTGAAAATCCAAAAATTGAAAAACTTTTTAAAAAATTAACTTCAATATAAACGCTATTAAATTAAAAAAAAAAAAAAAATTAGTAGTGAAGGTAGCTCAGGTGCAATCTACTACATTTTATTTAAAATAAAAATTAACGAGTTGACCGATCAAAAATCTCCTCGATCAATCACTTGTCAGTACCCTTAAAAGGATCTGTGTAAAATTTCAGCTCAATCGGGCGACTCGTTTTCGAGAAATCATGTCTATGGCACGAGAAACCAAGTTTCACAAAAAACGCTTTTTCGCGTTTTTGTACTCTGTACACTAGTGTCCGTTTGATTCGATGCGTTGCAGAAAACGTAAACACAAGAAGTAAGGCATGTCTATGTGTACAGCATAGGCGGCAATGATAATAACAATGATACAGGTATACTGCATAGGCCCGACTTTGTTGTGTTTACGTTTTCTACAGCAAATCGAATCAAGCGGACACTAGTGTACATATTGTAGCACTGTATTTAAATTTCTATAAATTTGAAAATATTGCTCGGATCTACTTGAAATTTGGTTATAATATTTTTAACTTACCCATTAATATCGACTGTTAGGTCGGTGTTTTCCAATTGAAAATTCATTTTACAACACTTTTTTAACAATATGTGTTTAATACCTTTAATGACACCTTTTTTAATACTTTTAACAAATTTTATTAACTATTCGCAACTTATATAATTGAAATGATGTGGAATCTACGAGCATGAATCTGCAACTGACTTGCTCAGAGAAAGATTTCATTCTTTCTCTTCACAAAGAAATTGATATTATTGTTTTGAAAAAATTTTATAGCCCTCGAACTTGAACCTCTTCATGAGGCCCGGAAATCGACATACGATCATCTCAAGCATAAGAGCGGACTCCGGCATCATACAACTGCTTATCAAAAATTTTAATGACCCATATGACACCTTAGAGCAATAATCGCCGACTCTTTAACATCAAGCTTTACCGTGAAGACAATAATGCTCATGAACAAACACATGATGCTCTTTGTGTGAGCTTAGACAAGCATAATTGTATATTATAAAACTTACTTGCTCAGAGAAACTAATATTTTATAAGTAGCAAATTAAATCATTACTTATAAGACAAAAATTTAAATTTTAACGCGGCCGCGCGAGAAGTAGCTAGTGCGGTACGAATGACTACATAAAGCATAGGCCGATAAACTACAGCACAAAGCAGAGATCGATGACTCTCAAGCTAGTAAAGATACGAAGTACAGCACAAAGAGGAATCTGATAAATGATGGCACAAAACGGAGATGTCAATAGAATGTAAAATAAACGTATGCAAATATTTCAGTAAGGTTAAATAATGATTAACAAAATTCATATTTTTTAATAAAGAAAGTGTTTATTCATAAAGCATTGAATTGCTTTGGATACTTATACATTGATACATGCTCGTACATTGCTACATTCGTACGTGCTTATAGATTGCTTCATTTATATCTATTACTATAGTGAACTCTAGCGATTATGAATACACCAAGAATCTGGTATATCCCCATCTCGCTCAGTAGGCACGCGTCTAGTAAGCAATACATCATTGATCCATTGTTTTAAAGCTAATACAGCGCATTCAGCGTCGATGATTAAACTATGGTGAGCGCAGGCAGGTAGTCTTCGCAGCTTGTTGAGAGCCGGACATCCAACGGTCTCCAGGTCAATGATTTTTGAAGAATATTTACGAAGCCATAGTACTTTTTCGGCTCCTTTTACGTAGACACTCTGAGCATTACGGAGCGCCCGGAGCAAAGTAAGGTCGAGCTCGTCGTAGTCAATATCACCACGGCTCCACTTTAATCGATGATAATTGTTTTCGAGCCATCGAACGGATGCTCTATTCGTTGGTGAATGTCTCGTAAAGGCATGTGGAGGTTTAAAGAGATACACCGAAGGTACCTTCTCAGTCAATGAAATCAATGCCACCTCTTTGAAGATAAACTTATTTCCATGGCTCTTGAAGCCCTGCACATCAATCACGTACGCCATTTGTTAATAGTTCGACTATAATTTCGTCTTATCTGTCCTTGATAATCACTGAAATACTCGCATATACCGGTCTAGGTTTACCAGTCACTACTTTTTTTGGCCTTGTCGGTTTTCTTATCCAAGGGCGGGCCGGGATTCCATAAGCCTGAACCCCAAGAACCATGCCGTGATTTCTCGAGGTTCGTGCTCTGAGCAGGAGCTTGATGATTCGATGAATAATTTAGAGCATTTCCAGTCGAATCTCTCAAGACTTTTATTTGTGAGGTGACTTTCTTCGCCTCTTGCAATTTGCTCTTGTCTTGACCCATTGAAATCTCACGACAGACTGATGAGAAGAACGGAATCGGCTTGAATATTTATACCCGTCCATTTGCAGATAATCGCGAATCATAATAACATTTCTTTTCGCACATGTCGAATCCTGTTTAGTGTGGTAGCGATAGGAAATTTTTCGTGATGAGCTCGGTATTGTTATCATTATAACATAATATTTCTCCTTCATATAATGACTTACAATATCATTATTAACATAGATTCTCTGAGCATTTGAAAGTGTAGAACATAGTATCGAACTGATCATAGATTGATCTAAGATGCCTAAATCATACTTGATGCCGTGAATTCCCTGAAGTTTCGTATTTTCAATTTTGTACTTTTCACTTAAACGTTGGAAGGGCATCGGTGAATTAAATAAATAAGTCGACGGCGATGCTTCTTCATCAAGAGGCAATATCGCCAACTCTTTGATGAATATCGAGCCACCGGGTTGTTTAAAGTATTGAAAATCCACTGCAAAATCCATTTTGAAACTGATGAATATCTCACGAGGACGCTTTTATAGTCTCAGACGAGCTTCTTCACATCACCGCTCACGGCATTGTACTCGACAATTCTATCGTGTAAGATTAAACAATAGGCTGATGTGTTGGCGGGAAAGTTTGCGGAAGATTCGAATTCCAGACGAACGTCTACCGGAGCATTCTTTAATGATTCGTTTTGTTTTGAGCAATCTATTACTACGAGAGGACATTCAATAAATTTTTTCTTATCAAGCATTGGCTTCGGAGTTTTTCCATAATAACCCCGCTGAAAGTTTACATACATGTTGTAGAGTGCGGCATACTGACTCTGAGCTACATTGATATTCAAATTATTGTAAGGATAGTACTGAGAATTGAGAAATAGCTTCACGTTCGTCAAATTGCATTGGTCAAACAAGCTGGCATCGTTTTCACGAATTGCTTTACTGTTAGTTTGAAAATCCAGTATGACGAAACGAGGCTTCTCCAACTGATTGGACGTCTTGACCGTCCACACATGTCGCGTGGAGACTGGAAGCGTGGGATACTCGTACAACTCCCAAGAACGAAAACTCATCGCGATTGGTTTGTCAATTTGACGCAGCAAACGAATTTTGTACTCGTTCGACAATTGAACATATGGCATGACCCACTCAAGCTTTGAAATGGTAATTTTAACTTCTTCATAGGCTCTTTCTCCATCTCTACCTTGTCTTTGAGTCTGCAGTACAGCGTTCAAATCTGTTCTTGCTCTTGTTAAAATTAGCTCATGCTTCATATTCACGATAATTTTTGGATAATCTTCCGCAAAGCCCAAGATCATCGATAGCGGGATGAAAACATCAAAGTAGCCATCGTCATCTTCCACGTGCTTGATATCTCCATCGTAATTCTCCCAAATCCAGCCGGCATTTGCTAAAATGCTGTCGCATTGATTCTTATTGAAAGATGGGTAGCCTTTCATCACACTAGTCAATCCAACGTTCTTACATCGGTCTATCTCAATGGCATTCAGTTCGTATCGAATGTCGTCGAACAAGTGGCATATGCCGCAATTAACAAGAGAAGCATTCGATGCAGGAGTACCATCATTTCGAGTTATCCTCCCACTTACATGAATCGAGCTGCGTGATGGTAGTAAATTCAACTCTTGATGCTGGATGGAAATGCGAATCTCATCGTTGTTGTTAAAATTGCTCGAGGTGTATGGCTGATGAGCGTGAACCTCATAATGAGATACTGACTCGTCGAACATTACGTCCGAACGAATTTCTAGAATGTCCGCCATCTTTCTGACAGCAACAAAATATTAGACAGGTGATTCGCCAGATGGTCTTAGACCGAGATTTTTTAGGAACTGAACGTTTTGGCGAGATAATGCTGGGCGAGATTGATTCAACGCCTGCGGCGTCGCCGTTGTTGTTGCTCTGGGGTGTCGCTCGCGACTGATGCTTCGATGCCATTGCACTCGGCTTTTATACAAATTGTTGCTGCTGTTGCTACCATACATGATACCCATTATATTGACCTGACATGCACTCTAATTGTTATAGTTTCATCACGAAAATTTACCAGTGCACCGTCCTGATCGACGATGCGTAACTGAATACTGTCTATGCGCTTGACACTCACGGGTAGATATATTACATTCGAGGGTACTTCAATAATTTTGAAGCCCGGGGGCACTGCTGGAAAAAATTCGTGTATCGTGTGTACGCGCTGATTATTTATAAACGCTCTGGATGTAATATTACACTCCACTCTCAAGGCGTTGACTTTGAGTATTGGTACAGGTAGATCGGAGATGTGCTCCTTGCCTGGCTCGAGCAATCGGCTGGTAAAACCCAAAAGACCGATAGAGTCTTTTGGTCGAAAGTCAACCTGTTTACTGCACAACAATGTGCTGCGAAGAGTATTGTTGTTGGGCTTTAATGAGAACTCGATATTCTCAGATGATAGGGCAGTCTTTAGATCGCTTTCAATATCTTCAATTTCGTAACTCCCAGGCTGTATGCTGATAACTTTATTATCGTCGAGATGCAATCGATTGCAGCCGTTTTGAATATTAGGAATTGAGTTGAACGTTAGTAGTTCGATGAGTCCCAAGACGTAGTTTTTGTTCGCATCCAACTCAATGGGTGGAAAGTAGTTGGATTCGAGAACGGAAGACTGACCTGAGAGAGTCAAAGTCAATGAATCATGCATGACGGTTGGTTGTCAAATGAATGCTTAGCTCGATATACATGTGCTTATATAGCCCCACTAAGAAATTTCAGGCATAAGTGACCACACCAATGAGTATCAAAATCCTGATATCTTTGATGGTTATACATGACTTCGGGGACTTTGAGGTAATCCACAAGATCTCGAGGCGGCTGTAAATCGCCAAAACTGCTTTTAAATAGAGTCCTTTATCGAGAGCAATCGCCTCCATTTTTCTGTTATGTTTTTTCGTTTCATGCAATTGTCGCTCGGCTGCTTTGGCGTCATTCACCGCATTAGCGATACCTGCGGCCCCCCCCAAGGTACCGACAGCGCTAAGGCCGGCAAAAAGAGGTATAAGAAACGGCAAGGCACTCCCAATTTTGCCAGATACCGGTAGAACGCGGGGAATTTTTACTTTTTTTCTTCCTCCTGTTTTTTTCACGGCTTCTCTAGCCCCCGAAATAGCCGATTTGATTACTGATTCGGAAGTTTTGCCTCGTTTCATGTTCTTCTTAGCAGCCGTAACCAGGTATAGGTTATGTTCGAGAGTCGGTACAGTAGATAAGCTATATCCATCTCCGGGTATCCGGGTACCCTCGAGTCGGTAACACCAGGGTCGATAACCTGCGATCGATAAGGATTTACCCACCGTCGGTAAAACAGGCATCCCCACTTACCGACCCCACTCCCTGACTTGGAGAGGGGAAGGGGGGCGTGGCTTATAGGGAGGAGTAGGGGGGGGGGGGCTCGAACCGGCTTATCTCACCTACTATAGTAATATTTTGAGCGATATTTCGCCTGATTCAAATTCATTGCTGCAATTGTTTGCACGCAACACAGTTCTGCTGTCATGCCCTTCAAATAGCTGTCGTACGAATAAGCATTGTCCGTGCTCGCGAATCCAGTTGGTATGCGTGCGCGAAAGCCCGTAACGACTTTAATAGGTGAAAATTCAGTCGCTTCGTGGATCGTGTTATTGTACGCGAACTGTGCCAGCGGAAGGCAATCATCCCACTGTACTGTATCGATTGCAAATTTCTTTAGATATTCCGTTAATGTCGCATGCATTCGCTCAATTGCGCCACACGTCTGCGGTCTGTATACACAGCTCTTCAATTTTTTGATGTTAAATAATGCACATAACTCTGTTAATAAGTTATTTTGAAAATGAGTGCTGTTATCAGATATAATTGAAAGTGGTGCGCCAAAGTAGCATACTACCTTATCGACCATTGCTCGTGCAACTTCGTGTGCATTGGCTTTTTTGCACGGTGTCAAGATTACAAACTTACTTAGCCAACATTGCATTGTAAGGATATATCGCCATTTGCGTTATCGTTTTTGCTGTTGTAGTGCGAGCTTTCCTCTGCCGCCTCGATTTTTGCAGCTGGCATCAAGGATTCGTCTGAATCCGACGATGACTCATTATCGAATCGCTCTTTGTCGTCTTGTTTTTCTTTGTCATTCGCGGCCAATTTCTTGTATCGCCTCGTTTGCACTCTCCAAATTCTGCCTGGAGGATGATCTATTTCAGCTGGTAGCTCATTATTCTCCTTCTCTTGCATTTCTGCTAATTCGAAAATCTGTTGTTTCGACACGTCTGCTGGGTTTTTTATTGATTTTATGACAGGATTTTGAGACAGCGCATCGGCATTTGCATTTACGAGGCCACGTCTATAAACGATATCGAAATCATATTCATGCAGCTTTGCTTTTAATCTATTAAACCGGAGATCTGGCTTCTTGGTCTTATGAAAATGCACAAAAGCTTGGTGATCTGTTAGCACTGTGAACTTTCTCCCCCGTAAATAGTAGTAAAATTGTTCTTTACCGAAAACGATAGCCAACAACTCCTTATCATATGTCGCGTAGCGTAGCTCGGCGCCTGTGAGACAGCGAGAAGCATATGCGCAAACGTAATCTGAGCCTATTTTTCCCTGACTAAGGATAGCGGACATAGCGAACTCACTAGCGTCAGTCGTGAGAATAAACGGTTGCGACATATCGGGTGCTCGTAAAACTGGAAAATTGCACATGCGCTCCTTCAGCTCTTCGAATGCACACGTTTGAGCCTCAGTCCACTCATATTTAATCGTCCTTTTCAGCAAATATTGCAACGATTGTACAATTGAAGCGTACTTCTTTATAAACTTTCTGTAATATCTTGTGAGACCGAGAAACTGTTTAAGTTTCTTCCTATCTGTTGGCACCGGATAGTCGCGCATAGCCGCAATTTTGTCTGTATTCATTTTAATTTGATTTGCTTTTACTACATGGCCTAAAACGCGCGCCTCTTTCTTTAGCATTTGGCATTTCATTGGCTCGATTGAAATATTTACTGCTTTGAATCGATCAAGCATACGTTTGAATCGAGTGTTATGCTTATTGATGGTTTCACCGTGAACCATCAGGTCATCTAGATATATTTCAAGCTCTGTGCCTTGTAAACCCGCCAGGGCCAATGACATTACTCGCGAAAAAATACTCGGCCCCGCCTTCATGCCCTTCGCGAGTCGCTTAAACTGATAGATGCTATTCGGCCCTGCAAAACCCGTCTTATGTGCCGATTTTTTGTCCATCGCAATTTGATGAAACTCGTTGCGCAAATTGACGCATGAAATATACCTAGCTGATGCCAGACGCTCAAGAATGTCGACTGTCAGCGGTAGCGGGTGACAGTAGCCTTCGGTTATCTCATTGAGCTGGCGAAAATCGGTGACTAAGTGCCACTTCTTATTGCCGTTTGCATTAAGAGTTTTCTTAGGCATAGCCCAAAGCGGGTTCAGCCATGGCGTGTTTGAGGGTTCGATGATACCGTTCTTTATCATTTTATCGATCTCTTTCTGTATCACTTCTTTTATCTTTGGGGGATACCGATAAAACTTAGGCGTGAAAGGCATTTTCGTTGTAGTGTTTATGGCGCATGTGATACTTTTTGATATGGGCAATGGTTCGCCTTCTAGGCCGAATACATACGGACTGTACTCGACTAGTGACCTCACGGCGGCGAGTTCGTCCTTGTCACATCCTCCTGTGTCCATTAGCTCAATTATTTTATTTACTAGCTCTGACCCATACAACACAAGTCCCGGGGATGGCTCATCCCGTTTTTCACTAATTTTTTCGTCTGTAAACAACGAATATACATAGGTATCCCGCAAGGCTACGCTTTCCTCATTAGCGCTTTTATTATCGATCATGCCGAAAATTAGAGGCAGCGGAAAAGAGCGAACTTGCCTTTTAGATACTTCAAAATTGAAATATAGCGAATTGAAGGATAAACAGCAATCTTCTCCCCCAGAAAAAGACCAAGCCCATCTGCGAGAGAACGTATATCAAATATTCGAAAGGGATATTAACCAACGAACACTTACCGGTTTACACTGATAATTATCCTAAATAGAGAGAGCTGAGCGAGAGCGCGCGTCAACTGTTAAAACTCATTTTCTTCCATGCGCTCCCTCATGCGGGGTTGATAATGAAGAAAGTCTGTCTACTTTTAAAAAATTAAATTATTTGAATAAAATTTTGTGAGATTTGAATGTATTTAACAAATATTTAATTTTTGAAAAGGTAAATTTATCTCGACTGCAATTTATAGAATTGTTTTTAAATTATTCGTGAATGATATAAAATTATGATAGGTATAAAAATAAAAACATAGGTTATTTATTTAATAAATGATTATATTGTCTGAAATGAAAAATCTTGTAAGAATACATTGTTTAGAATATTTATGATTTATGCATAGCGCTCGAACGGAACTTTGCACGTACATGGCTAAGAACGTAATCCATACCGTAGAATCTCAACTCCTCGATAAAGGTAGATGTAATATTTTCCATTGCATCGGCGTTTTCGGATTTATTGAACATACGGGCAGCTCCGGTCAACTCCGAGCAAACTCTATGCAGATCGTAAAAGCGCTCGAAACTTTCGACATTTGCAATGATGGTATCACGAATATCTTTCTCGACGTTTAATAACTCCTAGTAATAGAAGGCAGCGAGCCATACTAGCATACGGGTATAATCTCGCATCGTCTTAGACAGAGACACGAAGCGTTGATCAATTGCAGAGGAG